TCTCATTCCCCTGGCACTCAAACACATCAGCCCAGATGCGGCCCCTCCCCTCTCCAAACCAGGCCTGTTCTGGCCCTGCCACAGTGTTTCCACACTGCAGCTGCCGACAGAGGACACTGGCTGCTCTCATATCCCAGGATGCATCACACACTGTCCCCCACTCACTGAGGTACTGCAGCTCCACCCTCCCGGAGCAGGAGTCAGGGCCGCCCACCAGCCTGGAGTCTCTGTACCCTGCAAACAGCACAGGGGGGGTTTAGCATCTGTATTTTAACTACAGGATTATAAAAAACAAGGTCAAAATACCCATATACCAGTGTTCCATAATCATCTATCCAGTTCACAAGTCATAGTGAGTGTAAATCACAGACAGTGCATGGAATGAGGCAGGGGATCATCTTTTTCGAGATGCATTATGAAGTACATAAATAAGTAGTCTGCAAAACATGGATATTTTAGAGACACCAGGAAGGTAAAAACGTTTTGAATAACACTAAAAATATATTATTTCAGTACATGTCTTTTCCAACAGCTCATTTATTTTCAAACAATATGCTTAATCTGACCACTGCACACGAGGCAGTGTTACCTACAGAAGGCAGTGAAGCACTGCGCCTCACTCAATAACACATGTTATGCTCTATAACTATTAGTAATGTTGCTCTTACCAGAACACACCAGTCCTGCTGCATTTTCTTGTGAGCAGCTCTGCTTCTTCGTAGGTGATTTTGGGCAGAAGTAAATATGTGATTCATTCCCTCTACACTGGATCTCCTCTGCCCACATATTTCTGCCCCCCTTGCCAAACGCAGCCCCCCCCAGCACCTCCACTGGGATCCCACAGCCCAGCTGCCGACACACAACCTCTGCGTCCTGCAGGTCAAAGGCAGCATCACACACTGTGCCCCAGGTAATTCCGTGCTGCATCTCTACTCTCCCAGAGCACAGGTGTGGACCTTGTGCCAGTCTGACCTCACGGTGACCTGTGAAGTTTACAGAAGGAAAAAGAGGCAACAGTAAATTAATTCCAGTGTATATTTTAATGGTAAAATTATTTGGTTACTATAGTAGATACTTGTCTGCAGTTTAGATTCTGTAACATATTAGCTATAAGAAGGTTAATGTTTCACAAGACCTAATTTTGGTTTTAATTTCCAAATAATAATAAATATACGGCTTGTTAACTCTCTGTGCCCTACCTGAGCAGCTGACTCCAGCATTACTGACATGACCACAGTTACTAACTCCCCATCCTTTGTGTTTACAGTTCTTCAGGGTCGACTCTGACCCCTTACAGGACACGTCATCCATCCATATCTTCCCTTTTCCTTCTCCAAAGTGAGCTCTTTTTGGTGCTCGTGCTCCTCTTCCACATCGCATCTGTCTACACACCACTGCAACTTCCTTCATGTCCCAGTCATCATCACACACTGTGCCCCACTGTCCTTCGTGAAGAACCTCCACTCTCCCAGCACAGGGGCTGCCTCCATTCACCAGCCTCACGTTACCCCCACCTGGAAGGACAGGAGAGTTACTATTACGTCACTGATTATCATTTGCTTTTCCTCGTAAAGGTTAAAATCAAACCCTTCATGTATCTTTCATAATCACTTATCCAGTACAGGGTGACGATGAGCCTGTAGTCCATGAAGCTCAGGTCACAACAGCAGGGACACCACTGCAAGACAGACTGTCTCCCCCATGATCACACACTGGGGGCTGTTTAGAGGAACCAGTTCAGGTAACTTTGACTGGGGCTGAGAGACCACTTAAAAGTAAAGAGCAAGGGGCTGGATAAGGAATCAGGCATTTTCATGGAGAATACGGGTCTTCAACTTTAAATTTTACTGTTGATTGTTTAACAGGTTATATGTATATTATTTATTTCTCTTTCAGCAAAAAAAAAAAAACCCAAGTGGTCCTCTGAGCGGGAGACCTCCTAGCGAGGCCCCCAGGTTTCTCCAGTTTGAGATCCCTGTTCCAGAAACTTCGCTAGCTCACATGCTTAATCTCTCCTTTTTCCAATAAATACTTTTCATTCCTCATCTCTGTTATCCACAACATCAATTCACTTTACACATGAATATACAACTGCAAAAAAAATTGAGACCACTCTATATTTTCAACAAATCTACACTTTCAAATCTCGGTTTAATCCTGGTTCTGCTGAGCAGCAGGTTGCTTCCAGGCTCAAAGTTTCTAAGACAGCAGAAGGTGAAACAGGAGACACTGGCAATAACGAAAAACCAGCCAGGTGGAGGACAGAAGCAACTTTCTAATGGAAGAGATGACCGTCAACTTATCCAAGAGTGCCGTATGTATCAGAGGATGACATCAAGTGACCTTCAAAAGGAATAGGAAACATTAAGTGGTATGAAGTGCACTGCTAGGACAGTTTGTATCAGGCTCCTAGAAGCAGGACTGAAGTCCCTTAAAACAAGGAAGAAGCCCTTCATTAATGAGAAACAGGGAACAACCAGGCTGCAGTTTGGAAAAATATATGTATTTTACAAAGAAGCACACCCATAAATTGAGAAATGAGTGAAGCTAAAAATTTTGAGGTGGTCTCTCAATTTTGTCCATAGCTGTATATCAAACATAATGCAATCGTATGTTTTCTTTGTAGTGATCGTCACCCTAAGGAATAATACTGTGATTTACAGCTGATATGATTAAGATCATTTTTATTTAGTGTTTATTATTTATGCTCATGTCTCGAAATACATTTTCTACAACAGTGCCTCATAAAAGTATCCAGACTGAAACGTCCATTCAGGAGACTTTCAAAGAGGAGCATTTGGATTTTTTGGAAACACACTGGGGCAGTGGTGGCTTAATGGTTAGAGAAGCACACTTGTAATTGAATGATTGTTGGTTCAAATCCCCAACCAGCAAGGTACCAGTGAGGTACCTGCTGAATTAGCTGCCCCCTGCTATGCAGAGGTGGAAATTTCAGGTCTAGAAAATACAAATCCAAACCAAGATTTTGTTTCAACCAACCAGTACTCTGTGACAGTGACTCTGTATGCTCAACTGGTTGGTTGAAAGTAAATCATGGTCTGGATTTTTACTTTTTGGACCTGAAATTTCCACCTCTGCTGCTATGTCACGATGTCACATATGGGTTAAATGCAGAGGACACATTTTGTTTTTGTGTACTGTGGTGTGTCAACAACGATCAATGATCACCTAATCTTATAAACATATCCACGTAAAAGCATATTAAAGATATTAATATCTGCCTCACAAATCACTGAAGAGGATTCACCATCCNCACCAGCCTCACGTTACCCCCACCTGGAAGGACAGGAGAGTTACTATTACGTCACTGATTATCATTTGCTTTTACTTGTAAATGTTAAAGTCAAACCCTGCATGTATCTTTCATAATCACTTATCCAGTACAGGGTGACGATGAGCCTGTAGTCCATGAAGCTCAGGTCACAACAGCAGGGACACCACTGCAAGACAGACTGTCTCCCCCATGATCACACACTGGGGGCTGTTTAGAGGAACCAGTTCAGGTAACTTTGACTGGGGCTGAGAGACCACTTAAAAGTAAAGAGCAAGGGGCTGGATAAGGAATCAGGCATTTTCATGGAGAATACGGGTCTTCAACTTTAAATTTTACTGTTGATTGTTTAACAGGTTATATGTATATTATTTATTTCTCTTTCAGCAAAAAAAAAAAAACCCAAGTGGTCCTCTGAGCGGGAGACCTCCTAGCGAGGCCCCCAGGTTTCTCCAGTTTGAGATCCCTGTTCCAGAAACTTCGCTAGCTCACATGCTTAATCTCTCCTTTTTCCAATAAATACTTTTCATTCCTCATCTCTGTTATCCACAACATCAATTCACTTTACACATGAATATACAACTGCAAAAAAAATTGAGACCACTCTATATTTTCAACAAATCTACACTTTCAAATCTCGGTTTAATCCTGGTTCTGCTGAGCAGCAGGTTGCTTCCAGGCTCAAAGTTTCTAAGACAGCAGAAGGTGAAACAGGAGACACTGGCAATAACGAAAAACCAGCCAGGTGGAGGACAGAAGCAACTTTCTAATGGAAGAGATGACCGTCAACTTATCCAAGAGTGCCGTATGTATCAGAGGATGACATCAAGTGACCTTCAAAAGGAATAGGAAACATTAAGTGGTATGAAGTGCACTGCTAGGACAGTTTGTATCAGGCTCCTAGAAGCAGGACTGAAGTCCCTTAAAACAAGGAAGAAGCCCTTCATTAATGAGAAACAGGGAACAACCAGGCTGCAGTTTGGAAAAATATATGTATTTTACAAAGAAGCACACCCATAAATTGAGAAATGAGTGAAGCTAAAAATTTTGAGGTGGTCTCTCAATTTTGTCCATAGCTGTATATCAAACATAATGCAATCGTATGTTTTCTTTGTAGTGATCGTCACCCTAAGGAATAATACTGTGATTTACAGCTGATATGATTAAGATCATTTTTATTTAGTGTTTATTATTTATGCTCATGTCTCGAAATACATTTTCTACATCAGTGCCTCATAAAAGTATCCAGACTGAAACTTCCATTCAGGACACTTTCAAAGAGGAACATTTGGATTTTTTGGAAATATACTGGGGCAGTGGTGGCTTAATGGTTAGGTAAGCACACTTCCCTAATTGAAAGATTGTTGGTTCAAATCCCTGACCAGCAAGGTACCACTGAGGTACCCTGAGCAAGGGACTGCCCCCAAGCACTGCTGAATTAGCTGCCCCCAGCTATGCAGAGGTGGAAATTTCAGGTCCAAAAAGTAAAAATCCAAACCAAGATTTTGTTTCAACCAACCAGTGGAGTACTCTGTGACTGTGACTCTTTATGCTCAACTGGTTGGTTGAAATTAAATCATGGTCTGGATTTTTAATTTTTGGACCTGAAATTGCCACCTCTGCTGCTATGTCACGATGTCACATATGGGTTAAATGCAGAGGACACATTTTGTTTTTGTGTACTGTGGTGTGTCAACAACGATCAATGATCACCTAATCTTATAAACATATCCACGTAAAAGCATATTAAAGATATTAATATCTGCCTCACAAATCACTGAAGAGGATTCACCATCCGAAGGTTTAAATACTATTAAAAGCCACATATTTTGATATTCTTTAAAGCATCTGTTCACAAGAAATCCTATATTTTTAATTTAAACACAATTTGTTTTTCACACAAAAAAACTGCAGTCATTCGTCTGACATTTTAGTATCACACCTACTGTGCATGCAATTTCATAAGAGGAAATAGAAATAAAGTTTTTTTTAGTTATTTAAAATATTTATATTTAACTATAAGACTATAAGGCAAGCATATTTTGCAGTTTTGGTATATCAATATTTTTTGCCAGGTTTGTACTGGATGTGAGAAACGAAAGCAAGGATATTCTCAACTGCCCTCTACATCAGGTGGAGCAGGACAAATTAATCAGCATATGTTTTAATTATATGATTTTATTTATTTATTTTATTTATTATATAGTCTGTATTTTTAAATATCAGCAAATTATTTGCCAGCTAAAAACTGAGCTGTGTAAAAAGCTGAAACTTACTAAATTCAGTAACATGAACATAAATTCTTCCCAGTCTTACTATAACTCCTGCCAGGCAAATTGAACTGTTTTACTCTAGTCTCATTATCAATTTGAGCTGTACATTACTTATAAATGCGTAATAGTTAAATATGTTTTTAAAAAAATGCCAAAAATCTTATATACAAGAAAAAAGTTTGCGAATAACTTTATACATTTCTGTTAACAAAAAAATTGCAGGTAATTTTTACTCTGTATATCCAAAGCAAAAAGATTCTACTACTTTGCCCTGATTATGACAATAATT